GGCGTGCCAGGAGAGCAGGTGAAGATAATGATTATAGCATGTTTGGGGACGTTCGCCAACTGCCTCGGAACAGTATGCGGGAGTGGGTTGGCTGAGCTAGCGTGGCGTGTGTCAGCGTCTAGTGCAGTTTACATCCACGTGTCGGGTTCTCTTTAGAACCGGTAAAATTGATCCTAACAGTTGCCCCCGACTTCTCGGCTGATCTGAAGATGAGTCAGGAAGTTGAATCCTCCTTGGCTCCCTGTAAAACAAGCACGATTTATCCGATTCCCTAGGTTTTATGCCGCTTAAAGGCTGGGTTGACGCGGCGACCGTGCCACGTATCGCAAGAGATACGGTACTAGTCTGAGCGAAGCTAAGTTCTAAATGAACCTCGAGAGCTAAGTTCTCACGAAAGTACGAAACGGGGTGCCCGAGATAAGACCTTAGAATGTAATGAACCTCAAGAGGTATTATAGCTAAAACACTTTAAACAATCGAACTACGTCATGGCTTGATCCCCTTACGGGGTACATAGGCAGCTCGACCAACGAGTTCAGCCACCATTTTTTTATCAAACTTATATCCCACAGCATGACAGCAAATAGGCGAGCTATACGTGACGACCCTACGTTGTATCATCTCCTTTATTTATTTTTTATTCGGAATAACAATTATTTTACTTCAGCAATAATTATATTTGTCAAAACCGAGATCACGAACCAAAACAGTTCGGACCACCCTCGTCATACATCTATAAGCTGAAAAACATTAAAACAAAACCGAGCTCCACAGCTCGTCTTCGAGGTCAAAACATAGCCCGCCCACCCACACCTCGTTCAAGCAAGCTCAAGCTCACGCATCGCTCACTCGTTCAGAGGGGGGGGGGGGGGGGGGGGGGGGGGGGGGGGGGGGGGGTAGAGTCCTATTTCACCGACCTCGAAACCCAAGCACTCCCAACCTCCCACACCTCGACATAAGCGAGCTACAGTACACACGTACCTCACTCCTTCGGGGGGGAGGGGAAGCCACCTATCCTAGATGTCTTCCCAAGCAGCACAAGGTACACACTTCTCATTTCGCAAAACAACTAAGTTCGGAGTCCTACTCCACTTCACAGGTGTGGCCAGATTTACAATTCGACTTCAACCATAGCCGGAGCTCTGGACCTCGAATCGACGAGCCCAATGCAGCTCGCAGTTCGACAGGGACGACCGAGCCCTATGTTTGGAACTCAGAACAAAATCGAACCACCTTCTCCATCTCAAAGCCAAAACTGAGAAATCCCTAGCTCAAAAGAAAGCAAACTCCACCTCGAACACCGAAACTTCACCGCAAAGCAGTTCGATCCATATTCTAAAAACTAAAGAAAAATCGAGCTAAAAAACTTAGCTATTTTCTCAAAACAAACAGATCGCCCTTCGCGACCTAATCGTTTTATCTAAGTCCGATAAATCGAACAACGAACTCGAAGCTGTCAGCTCGAGCATCGAACTAATGACTAGCGACCTAAGTCTCGAGCTCGACAATCTTAGTCCGCTTCCCTAAGTTATTAAACAACTTAGCAAATATCCTACTCGAACAAAAAAATGCAAGAGACCAAAGATAAACAAAATCTAAGGCATAAAGCCCGATTGCAGTAAACAAAAGCCCTTTTGGGCACGGATAAGTTCGAAAAATAAAAGGATTAAAGCCCTCCCGGGCACCAGAACAAGCGTAAAAGCCTCGTCGGGCAACCATGTTCGAAAATTAAATTTAAAAAGAGGAAGGAAAAGAGAAAGGAGTCACGGTTAGCCGTCAAGCTAACCACCCGCCTTCTCGTCGTCGTCCTCCCTCCTCGCCTCATTATTTCCTCCTTCCTCCACGTTTGTACCAAACTGATTAAGGTCAACAGGCACGCCTGAAACTGGGTCGACGTCCATAGCCACCGAGTCCTCCGAGATCACGGGGAGATTGAGCTTGATGATCGAGAAATCTGAGACCTAGGCAGCCTTAAAAGCCACTCCCAAGTCCTCCTCTTCTTTGGTCACCCTCTCCAGCTCCTCCTCGACAGTAGTGGCCTTCGCGGCGAGCTGCTCGAGCATCTCTCTGTTGGCAATGCATTCCTGGAGATCGGACTAGGCCACACCCTCGGCCTTCTTCCTCTCCCACTTCAGCTTGAAGCCCTCGATCACCTCCATGAACCTCCGAGACATATCCTTCCGGACCTCACGATTTGCCTTGCGGACATCGCTCTCGCGCTCGCGGAACAAACAGAGATTCTCCTCCTTATAGATCGCGGCCTCCTGTTGAGCTTGCTCTGCTGCAGCTTGAGCCTCGAAGATCTGGTTGGTGGCAACCTTGAACTTCTCACCCTTATCGCATGGTCGAGATACAAGTTCAAAGAAAACTTATCGGGCGCGAAAACTGGAGCTGGAACGGGGGAGGTGAGAACTCGTCGGACTCGTTCTCGCGTGAACATGCTCCAGATATATTCTCCTCGTCTGAACAACTCTAGCCGGTGCTCGATATCGGGATCCTTGGGTGCTCTGGACAGTTGGCCTGATAGACAAAAACAAGTAAAGGGTCAGAAAACTCGACGAGCATACCAAAGCGAACATAGTTAATAAGCACTCGAGCCTAGCTAAACAACCGTTGCCCGCGAACTCGACTGGCAGCCAGGAAAAGTCGAAGTCCTCAACGGACGCCTCGTTAATCCGGAACTTAAGCTCGGTTTTCTCCCAACCAGAGTCCTTCTCCGGACTCTCCTCAATGAACCGCCGGTTCGACCTTAGGGACGCGTAGAAAGTCCCGGGACGACGAGCGTTGTACTTGACGGAGAAGAACGCTCTCAAGTCTGAGTAGCGAAAGATGACGTTCTCCTCTTTGGCCCGCACGGCACATCCGATGATGGCCCGAACTAAGTTCGGGCACATCTGAGGGAAAGCCAGCCGCATGTCCGCCAATACCTCAAGGACGAACCGAGGGATTGGGAAGAACAGCCCGCAATCCCAGAAGTACATTGTATATGCGCAGCAAAAGCCTGACTCCACGCTCGCCGGAGTCTCCGCTGGCGTCAGGATTGCCAACTCTACCCCGTCGGGGATTTAGCATTCTCGACAGAAGTCGTCGAGAGCTTTCTGGTCAATCTTGGAAAGACCTACGACGGTCCTCCCGGATTTTTTCCCCTCAATTTTCACTACTACCGACATCGGAAAAGAAAAGAGGAAGAAAAACGCTAAACCCATAAAATTCGAAGATGAAGGTCGGAGCTTTTCTAAAGAAAAATTCGGCAAACAGTTTATGAAAACTACGGAAAACGGAAGTTGCAGAAAATAAAAGGGAAAAGATAGAGGAGATTACCTTTAATCGACGAACTGATGCAGTTAAAAAAGGAGTGGAGAAGGTGGACTTTATATCGAGGTAATTATTATCAACCTCGAAGATCGCGGAGAATCTGGCCACGCGCCAATCTCAACCATTCGATCCTCCTATCTCAACCGTCGAATATTCGACCCCGACAATTTCACGCGCTGTATAGCTCGATCGTTCGAGGTCGTCAGATTGACTCTCTCTCTCTCCATCTGGACCTTCCACGTCACCAAGCTTTATCGCGAATCTTCTCGAGAGATGCACCTTATCCTGGGAAGCTCGACCGCCGAAATAGAAAAGTAAATGATAATATTTACTCCTAACTAGACCGTCCACCTGGACGAGTTAATGATATTTTCACCTCAACACGCCAAGTCGCAGTCTCGAGGTCGAATCTCGACCACACGATCGATGAACTGTTCGGCTTTCCAAGACCCGAACCGTCGATCTCGAATGATTATTTGACTCATGACGTCAGCGTAATCGAGCACAAAATCTTTGAAAAGTCCCATTTTGCCGCCCATTAAAGCTCGAGCTCGCTCTCGTTAATGGGCTAGGGGGCAATTTTTGGAGCTGGATTTGGCACCCCAAATCCGGCCCACTCAAGCCCAACGGGCAGATCCGAACTAAGCCGAAAAGACTGGGCTTCGATCTTGCGGCCATGGCCCATTCATCTTTCAACAACCCGATCCTGAGCGATAAGACATTCCGTTCAACGAGGTCGAGCTCCAGCTCGACCAAATCCTGAGAAACGAGGAAGAATCCGAGCCAAGTCAGAGCATATTCTCGCCAGTTCAAACGAGTTCGAAGATCGCAGAGGAAGTTGCTGCACGTGGCGAGATATCTGGCTGAGGCTGCTGCACGTGGCTGAGATACGCGCTGGAGCTCGAAGCTCGACGACGCAAGCTATATAAAGAAGGAGAACGGCTTAGTTCGGAGGATCTTCGGCTTGATCTTTTTACACACTTTTTACACCCGAAAATACTGTAACGGCTCCCAGAGCTCTTTTCAGTTCATCTTTTTCATTGAGATCTTTGTAACCGTTTCATTCGACCGATTAATACAAAATCCTTATTTCAGTTAGTGCTAGCTTATATTGTCAATCTATTCGAGGGAATTTAGCCCTTAATCCTCTAAAGTTCTTTTCTTACAAATACACATAAATTTTTGAATGTAGATTTCGGTATCCACAATCATAATGTTTTTTTGTTTTATTGCGACTTTGGTAGTAGTTTTAATATAAAACAGATCATTTTAAATTTTATCTGGAAATAAATATTACAAATAATTTTTCAAGTTGGTGTGTTTGAGTTCGGAAATAAACTGAAATTTCATAACATTTGATAATTGTTATTATAAAATTGATTTACTTTGTGTAATGTTTAACAACGATTATAATTAAGGTTTGTTTAATGGGGCAGATTCTTCAAATACTTAGTGGGCCCCTTTCCGGATCTTCAAACACTTAACGGATCCTTCTCTTCATAATTGGGCTTCATTACACATTTCTGTTTCTAAGCGTGATACGATTTTGAAGCCCTTCCACTACCCCACAGTTAAATACACTCTGATCCACAAAAATAAAACCCTAACCCTAAAATTTCGGCCGGTTTCAGGAGCAGAAGTAGAGCGAGTCCAAAAGTTCCGTAACCCTAAATCTACAGGCAAAGATGGGTCGCGTCCGCACGAAGACGGTGAAGAAATCCTCTCGTCTGGTGATCGAGAAGTACTACTCGCGAATGACGCTTGATTTCCACACCAACAAGAAGATCCTGGAAGAGGTCGCAATCATCCCTTCGAAGAGGCTCCGCAACAAGATCGCCGGATTCTCAACCCATCTCATGAAGAGGATCCAAAAAGGACCTGTCCGTGGAATCTCCCTCAAGCTCCAGGAGGAAGAGCGTGAGCGCCGCATGGACTTTGTCCCCGACGAATCCGCCATTAAAACCGATTTTATCTTTGTCGACAACAAGACGTTCGACATGCTTGCCACTTTGGGAATGTCCAGTTTGGCAGGTATCCAGAAATGGTCCTGTTAAGCAAGGATTCACACCTTAATCTTTCTTATCTCTGAATCCTCTTTTATAAATACAATTTTATATATAACTTCCATTTTTTGGTAATATCTAGCTTTGGAGGATAATAAGAAATTATATGAATTTAAAAGTTCCACACACCTGTTGAATTTGTGAGAAGACATGATACTAGATGGATAACAATATAACTATATCAGAATCTTCTATAATATATTTATGATTTACATGTAAGCGAAAGTTAGTTTACGTCCGTAATTGATTGCATTTAGCTATAATAATACATTTAATATTTCAATATCTATTAAATTTAGAGAAATGAGCTCATATGCACCTAATATAAGTTTTTGTTCCTAATATATACTATCATGCTAAATAATTCTTTTCATAACATTTTTCATTAAAAAAGTTGACCATTTAACCTTAGTTTTTTTTGACTAACAAATTTCATTAACTTCAAAAAATAATTACAAAGATATTATACAGAACTATTGTAACACAAATTATTACATAGGCAGATGTATGTGTCATGCATTGAAAAAATACAGTAGAAGAGAGATTGACTATGCTTTTCGAAGAGTAGTCTTATTCACTAACATATCTGTTATTGTCCAACTTCATATTTGATCTTTCTCTAAAACGATTTGTATACAACATCTCATGGCTGAATTTTCTTTTTCCAAACCAAATTTGAAAACCTGATGTGCCAAAACGTAGTTCTGAAAAGTAAACATAATGATATCAAAACTTCCATACCAAAATCTTTCTGAGATAATGCATCTTTGTACCAAAGATATTTTGCTGGAAAACAAACCAAGCAAAATACTTGAAATCAAATGTATAATTTGAGGCGCTAGTGGAAACCTATGAAACCCATATCTTCCAAAACCTCTGTATTCCTTATTCTGCGTCTCGATATTCTGACTAGTTGAATATCTATCAACATCTCCTAAAGGATTTCCTTTGCACTCACTTATTTCAACTAATCTCCATGAGCACGAAACAAATGAATACCGAACTTACAACTTTATAAAGCAAAGTTCTAACACCCATCATTTCTCGAATAACTTTGAAAGCCATGACGAAGACTATAAATCTAGATGAAGCCATAATAGAGCCTATATCCTCTAAAATCCAGTAGAACAAAGTGGATGTAATGGAACCACAGTCACTTACAGCCAGCATACCCATGAACAATAGATTCATTTGTAACACAAACTTGTGTGTCCTTGCATAGATCACGATTGTAAAGGAGAGCCTGTAGATGCAATGATTGTAGTGACATCGCCAGAAGTGAGATAAAACAGTTACCCGACAGAAACAATGCCAAAAGAGGGCAAACTCGGACGAGAAAGTTATGAAACTGATCCAACATGATAACCCGTAGGCCTTTAGATGAGTCGACGCCAAAAAGCATTGAAATACATAATTAGCAGCCATCGATTTTGAGGAGAGCACAATCAATTCATCTCCTCTGTAATTCATCAATGTTGAAGCGGATTCGCCTGGATCCCAAATTGGGAGATATGATAAGCAGATTCTCAAATAGATCTTCATAGAGATTTCAGATTATACTGAAGGATAATCCTAATAGACTACGATTAATTGAAAAAAAAAAGTACAGCTTTAATGTCGGCCGGAGGTTGTCGGTAGATGACCATTTAACCTTAGTTAGACAAAATATTAGTTAACAAAAGGAGAAGAAAAATAGTGTAGAAACAAAGACATTATTTGTGTTGTTTGGGATCGCTCTTATCGTTTGATTGCGATTTTGCGATTGTGAATCTATTAAATCTTTAGAGTTTTTTAGCTGTATTGATTGTCTTCTGTATATCGTTTATGTATTTTGTTGGGAAAATATCTTCGGGATTTAAAGCTCAAAATCATATAATGGATGATAAATCTGACATAATTGGGTGAAAAGTTCAAGAAACTCAAACTAAAACAACAACAATGGTGAAAACAAGGAAATTAACAAAAAAATGTTTGATTTAGGAAGGAGATGAGAGTAAATTTAGGAAGATATTAACTTTTAGGAATACTTTTCTAAAACGTGTAAATTAAGCATGTCATTATATGTATTTAGGAAAGCCTTTATAAATTGTATAATTGATTTTTTTTGTTAATTTATATAACAAGTCAAATTCAGAAAGCCTTTCATCAATCTAGGAAGCATTTCCTCAATCTATGAAGCATTTCCTCAATTCAGGAAGCCTTTTCATAATTCAGAAATTTTTTTAAAAAATTATGAAATCTTTCCTAAATCATATGAAAAGATGTTAGATTTTAGTGTTTGGAAGACCTTCCTAAAAAATCATAAAATAAATATTCAAGAAGACTTTTCTGAAGGACAAAATCGAAAAAATCAAATAAAAAATGTTAGAAGGTGAAAATTTTTTAGCTACTCTCTTATTTTTGTTTTTTAATAGTAGAGAGTTGCCCCTAAATTTATTCAATGTTTACTTATATATATAGAAAAATATGTATAGTTTTTTAGTAAACTAAAATCTCGTTCTTGACAATACTTACTGATCTCAATGTATAAATTTTAACTTGCATCATTTTCAAATTTTAATTAGTACTAGGTATTTATCCGCGCTACGCTGCAGGATATTTTTCTAGATTTTGTATATATTTTTATTTATTTTTTTATTAGCTTAAGTTATGTATTTATATGTTTTAAATCTGAATAAACATTATATATCTTTAATTTTTTTATTTTTCAAAATTATAATCTACTATCAAATTTGTTTAGCTAACTATCTATAAATATATATGTAAGAATAAAATAATACATTTTTAAGTACATTCATGCTAATGGCAAATGTAATTTATTTTCTCCATTAAATTGTCACTTGATCCTCCTTTGAACAATTATTAATTAATATGATTATTTTGAATTATAAAATTTATTTATTTATTATAAACATATGTTTCTAAAACTACCAAACTATAATCAATAACGTTCATATCAAAAGCATTGTTATTGCTTTAAAATTAAATAAGAAGTTATGTTTGAAATGTTGAAATATTAATTTAGTTGAAGTTAAATAATTCAAATTTGGTTACTATAAACATATTGTAACTTGAAAATTTGGCACAGATAAATTTTGTCTTTTTACAAAAATCAAGAAATTGCATTTCCGACATAACAAAAAATTTCATTTTCCCACGAAACCAAGAAATCGCCTATTCCTGCCAAAACTACAAAAAAAAATATTATTTTCACGTTAAACCTGAAATTTTATTTTCCTACAAAAAATTGCATTTTCCTGTAAAAATCATAAAAGCATATTTTCTCGCGAGTACCTGTGTTTTTCCGCCAAATCAGAAAATCAAGTTTTTTCACCAAAACTAAAAAAAAATTCATCTTCTTGCAAAAACCAAAAAATGGTATTTTCCCGTCAAAACCGAAAAAATTATTTTTTCGCAAAAACGGAGAAATCATCTATTCCCGCAAAAAAAAAACAAAAAACTTTTCTCGTCAAACCAAGAATCACGCTTTCCTACCAAAACCGATAAGCTACAATTTTCCGCGAAAATCAAAAATTGCTTTATCTCCTGAGAAATTGCTTTTTCCGCGAAAACTAAGAAATTGATTTTCCTGCGAAAACCAAAAAAAATCACATTATATGTCATAAACTAAAAATTTTCATTTTCCATAAAAACCAAGAAAATGTTTATTCCCACCAAAATCGAGAAATTTTGTTTTTCCATTAAACCGAGAGATTGCTTTTTCTGCCAAAATTATCAAATTACAATTTTTCGTGAAAACTAAGAAATCACATTTTCCCGCGAAAATCAAGAAATCACATTATCCATCAAAAGTCAAAAATTTGCATTTTCTATCAAAACCGAGAAATCGTGTTTTTAGTCAAAATTGAAAAGTTGTATTTCCCTCGCATTTTCTCGTCAAAACTAAGATATTTTGTTTTCGTGTCAAAATCCAAAAAAAAAATTTCTCATCAAAACCAAAAATTCACATTTTTCTGCCAAACCCGAGAATTCGTATTTTTCCGCCAAAACCGAAAATTATGTTTTCCTACCAAAACTGAACATCATATTTTCCTACCGAAACCAAAAAATTCTCTATTCCCACCAAATCCAAAAAAATTTGTTCTCGGTAACCACCGGAAATGCGAATCTCCAAGCTGTGATGGTCTGAGCTTCTCGTTATTTGCTTTCTACTTCTATTTTTTTGTAAACTTTGGGCTTTTTAATGGTTCAGCAAAATAGTAAACTGATTTTATTACTGTGTTAATGATATGTATTATTGTTATATTTTTATTGATTCAAATTTTTGCTGATGTGTGAGCTTCATATAACATAATGCTTTTTGTGTTGTTGTTATGAAAACATAGTTGATGATGAGTCTATACTTTTTTCAATCATATATGTCTCTATCAAGCAAATACATAGTTAGAATTTTTTTTTTTTGCTGTTATTTATTATTTGAGTTTCGGTTTGGCAAAAATATAAAACAAAGATTTAATTTTTTTTATTTGTTGTTATTCATTATTTGGATTTAGGGATGGTAAAAAATAAAACATTTTTATTTTCTGTTATTATTAGTTAGGCTTGGGTTTGGCAAAAAATCAAACAAAGATTAACAAAGAAAAATATTTGGGTTTTTAATAGATTTTTAATGGGTTTAAGTTAAAAATAATAAAAGATAGTAGATGATTTGTATTAATAAAATATTTCGATTGATGTTTTGTTAGGCTGAAGTGTCAACTTTAGAAAGCTTAAAAAAGTTGATATGTCATCTCCTGGAAAGACACTTAGTGTTATTGTTGTATTGATTGATACACAAACCTTTGATGAATTATATATTTTTATGAGAAACTGATATCTCATATATTAAAATACAACATAAAATACACATCAGTTTTTAATTATACACATGAATGTTAAACCTTATTTCTGTGAGCAAACCATCTTGTTATATATGTTTTTAAAATTTTTGTTTTTTAATCTTGTTTCATGTTTTGATTAAAAGATAGATT